ACAAGTTGTAGGTAGAAATAAAGAATTTGTCAGTTTTCAAGCTTAAGAAATGTAAAGATCTCAGGATGTGCTGGATAATGCAATAAAACTGCTAAATATTGTTATAGTTTCCAATATACAACAGTTTTAAACAAGTTTAGCCTCAGGGTGAAGGTCACATGAGAAGTATGTTTACAACCCTTTGTTAAGACCTCACAAAAGATTCAGGTGGGACATAGTAGGCTTTCTCAGCTGGACAAAAACTTTCTAGGACTCTCAAAGGGGGTTTTCTCACAGACAGCTGGGCATGTCAGATTAAAGAGAAATCTGTGTGGCACGTAACTATAGATAGATGACTGCATTGCTGAGAGTACCACCAGCTTGAACAGACTGTTCAAAATCAGAAGATATGTGTGATGTCCCACTCGCCAAAAAGCAGGAAAGTGGCTGAGAAAGTGACTCAGCTGTGAGCATGGGTCATTTCTGGAGGAGGAAGAGGGACGTCTCAGCAAGGGGAGCCAAGAGTGCAGGTAGCAAGGCCAGGCACCACGGAGCCAGTGGACAGGAGTGAGACCGCAATGAAGGAACACCCCGTCTCTCAGCTAGGTGCCCTGGCTTAGTGTGACTTTCAGGGTGACTGCAGACAAGTGCCACTAGGTGCCTCCTATCCTACACTTCAGGACGGGAGCGTCTTCTGTGGTTAATCTGTCCCTGTGTCACCACTGCTCACTGCTTTGTCCGGCTGGCTGATTTCTGAATCAGAAAGTAACCTGTCTGGGGAACTGGCACCACGTTTGGACTTGTTACAAGTCTCAAGATCCAAACTCCAAGCTTAATGTGATAACTGAGATGAGATTTTAGGGCCTTGGCAAAGGCATAAGAATATTTTGCATGTGGGAGAAATGTGACTAATCTGTGAACACAAAGGAAGTATGACAATCAGAATTTCCTCTTATCCTAATGCAAGCAAAAGTGGAGTTTATTTCTCTAAGTCATTTAGTCTGAAATAGTCCTATAGCTCACGTTTTTAAAAAAGGTTATTTTTATTTATAATTAAAAACCAAAACAAGTACGAGAAACATCCTCCATCCTCCAATTCACTCCCTAAGAACGGCCCAGTCTGAAGCCAGCAGCCTAGATCTCCATCTGGGTATCCCATGTGGGTGGCAGGGACCCAAGTACTTGAACTATCACCTGCTGCCTTCCAGGATATATACAGAAATCTGGAGCGGAAGTGGAAAAGCCAGGCACTCTGATATGTGTTGTGGGCATTCTAAGAGCAGGTTAACCCACCTGGCCACAATGTGTGCCCTTCATAACTTGCTTTGATGAAGAGAACAGGCTGTGTGCATTTTATAGCCGATCTCTCAAGAGGTATTGTAGCTTTTGCTTTCTGAGAATGTTGTCCTGAGATCACTAGTGTGCTGGAGGATCAAAGACCATGTAGTGATGAGTCAACGAATCTTACCTGATAGCCTCAATCGCGGGCCATTCATGTTAGTCTGACTTAGATCCTGCAGTTCAATGGGCTCTCCGCCTGAATGCAGCCCAGTGCATTTATCAGGTGAATCTGGTAGAGGAATGGAGCAATCAGATCACAGCATCATGAGGAATAATAAATTGCTGTTGATCTAAGCCACCTAGTTTTTAGTGTGGCTTGTTAGCTGTAAGTACATAACTGAGACAGTCCTACTCTTACGAAGCTTGCAGTCTAGGAGAAAAAATGTCCAAGTAAACAGTAATCACAGAAAAGGGGATGGCTTTAAAGCAGAGGAATATAGGAGAGCACGGGAGCATATGGCAGCAAAATGTGGCCTCATTTAGTGGGAAGGTATTTCCACGCAAAAGGAACATTTACCCTGAGATCTGCAAAGCAAGAGCTATGTGGATAAAAAGTGCAGCTGGGGACAGGCGTCTGATACACAGATAAGATGCTGTTTGGGATGCAGGTTGGATGCCTGGCTTTAAGTAATGGTTCTGTTTCTAGCCTGGCCTAGTCCTGTTGCAGGCATCTGGGGAGAGAGCCAACAGATGGAGGATCTCTATCTTTGCCTTTCAAATGAGTAAATGCCTTAAAAATCTAAGGCCAGTGGTGTAACAACCTAATCCTCCACCTACAGCACCATCCCACGTGGATACTATTTCGAGTCGGATCCAGGTCCCTGCTGATGGCTCGGGAAAGCAGCAGAGGACGGCTCTAATTCCTTGGATCCTGCACTGATATGGGAGACCTGGAGGGGGCTCCTTTCTCCTGGCTTGGATCAGCTCAGCTCTGGTTATCCAGGCCATTTGGGGAGTGAATCAGAGAATGGAAGATCTCTCTGTGTCTCCTTCTCTCTGTAAATCTGTCTTTCCATAAAAATGAATAACTCTTTTTAAAAAATCAGAGGGACAAAAAGAAGAGGGGAGAGAGTAAAGAGAGAAAGAAAGAGAGATAGAGAGACAGAGAGAGAGAGAGAAAGAGAGAGAGAGAGAGAAAGAGAAAGAGGGATCTTTCTAGTTTAATCCTGAAATGCCCACAGAAGCTAGGCCTGGGCTTGGCAGAAAACATGGGCCCAGAACACAGTGTAAGGCTCTCAGAAGGGCAGCAGGTACACAATTACCTGAACCATCACTTGCTATCTTCCAGGGTGGGCATTAAGAGGAAACCAGACTGGAAGCTTAAGAGCAGGGACTCAAACCAGGCATCCGCAGTGATATCTTAGCCACTGTGCCGAACACCTGCTCTTAAGATGTACACAGTGCCTGGCTAGATTACCAGTGTGGCTTAATAACAGATACTGAAGACCTATTATGAGGTTTGACTGTTACATTTTATAGGCAGGGAAACTGAATATCACAGGGATAAAATGAATTGTCCTGGGGGTAAATTACATCATGTGATCTTTTCTGAGAGTCAATAAACTCAAAATTATTTTCTTAATAACAATAAGACAGCATTTGCCCTTTTAACTGTGTCGGGATTTACACTTAGATTCAGGGAGGGTGCCCACCATTGCCTAACTATACTAAAGCTGCTTTGTGTCATCAATATGTTTCATGCTGAGCACATGCTTTCTTTCCAGGAGTCTGAACTTATGGTGTGTGCTAGATACCTGAGTGACTGACTCCTGATAATAATTATGGAGTTCTTGGTTCTTAGTTCAGATTTATTTATTTTGAAAGGGTAACAGAAAGAGAGATAGATCTTCCATCTGCTAGATGACTTCTCAGATGGCTGCAAAGACAAAAAGACAGGCAGATTTTCCATCTGCTGTGCTATTTCTCAGATGGCTGCAAAGGCTAGTGCTGAGCCAGTTGGTTCTTCCTAGTCGCCCACGTAGCGGCAGGGGCCCAATCACTATGGAGGTCGTCTACTGCTTTCCCAAGTAATCAGCTAAGAGCTCAACTGGAAGTGGAGCAGCCAGGATCTGAACCAACACCCACAAAAGATGCCGGTGCAGCAGCTTTAACCACTATACCTCAAAGCTGGCCTCTGGGAGAGGATTCTTGATAGCTTGTGCATGGTGAACTCTGGATTCTACATCATGCACCAACTCCCTCTGCTGCTTTTGTATGGTGTCATTTGTTCTAATGAGTCACAGCTGTGAGTGTAACCATCCTAGCAAGGGGGGTGCAGGTGGTCTAGGGAAGCCCTGACAGGCTGGTTGGTGGCACAGTAAGCTAAGCCTCCACCTTTGGTGCCAGCATCCCATATAGGCACTGATTTGAATCCCAGCTACTCCACTTCTCATCCAGTTCTCTGCCAATGGCCCACATCCTTAGGCCCCTGCACCCATGTGGGAGACCCAGAAGATGCTCCTTGCTCCCAGCTTTGGACCAGCTCAGTTCTGGCCATAGCAATGACTTGGGGAGTGAACAAGGGATAGGAGCTCTGTCTTTCCCTCTCTTTTTATAATTCTGGGTTCCAAGTTAAATAAATAAATCTTAAAAAAAAAGAAACCCTGATACAGTAAGTGAGCCCCATTTAGGATAAGCTCCCCAGCCCCATGCTAAGACACATACTAAGATTTGAAAGCTAAAGATAACAAATACTGAAATTAGACAGGGAGAAATGACCTGTTACCTGCAAGTTTTGGATACGAGCAACTGAATGAGTTCTCATATGAATGCATAGTAATAAGAGGGAAGTGGTACAATATTTTTCAAATAAAAGAACTGCCAACCATAAATTCTACATCTGGCTTAGTAATTCACTAGGAATAAAGCAAATATATTTTTAGGTATAGAAAAACTTAAAGAATTTATGCTATCATACTCTCTTAAAGACTGAAGAGCTTTGGTTTAATGTTTATTAATAAAAAGAAAACAGTTCTCATGTGTCACACAAGTAGAATTCTAAGACAATAACTATTTCCCTGCTTCACTTCCCTTCCACCCTTCTTTTCAATTATGCAAAAACATTATGTCAATACCTTCTGTAATTGCAAGTTTAATGTATCCTTAACCACGATATCTAACACAAAGTAGAAAGATTGCAGCTTTCTTCAGCCAAAGAATGATAAAAGAAAGAATCCTGGAACATCAGGAAAGAAGAAACAACAGAGGAGCAGCAATAGACTATCCTTTTCATGAGTTTTATCAATTATATCTGAAGATTGAAACAAAACTTACAAGTATCTCTCTCACTCAGGCAGTGATTCAAGAGTAGGAGCAATAAAGATACCAAAGGAAGTGAAGCTTTCACATATCACTCCAGGTGATAAATGTTGATATTAGTAAGCCACTGTCATAAGTCATCTTTAGAACAATCACTACAAAAACAGACATTCAAAGCCCACTATAAATCAAGGTGAAATCCTAACAAATGTTCAAGTAACCCACAGGGAAGAAAAAGAAACAGAGCACTGGGAGTCAGAGGAAACAAGTAGAGAACAAATCATAAGATGGAGGTTTTAAGTCCCTACGTACATACAGATTTAGTGCCTACAAAGTAATTAAATATAAAAGGCCTAAATACAGAAATCAGAAGGGTTCAGAGTCCAGGCATTGGCATCAGATAACAAAGGCAATACACCTACCGTTTGGCTCTCTGGAGTCTGTCCCTTGCCAGTCTGAAACACATGGCTCCTTCTGAGGGCCTCTGCCCAGAGACCCTCTTGGAGACCCTCTGCAGCCTCCTGGCTCAGGGACCTGGACCATGTTGCCAACAGGAAGCTGTTTGCTGGGGGTCAGGCTCTGCCAGCTGAGCTCATCTTGGGGCGGGCCAGGAGGGGCTTGAGGTCTGCTGGAGTCCGGGCTCAGCCGTCCTTTTTGTTGTTCAGCCTCTTTTCGCTTGTTTTCTTCTTCCCGCTTTCTGAAAGCAAAGCCCAAGAAGAAGGAAAAATAATTAAAGAGCATCACCTGATTAAGTGTCCTGAGTGAGAGTTAGATTTTAAAAGGAGCTATCATGTCACAGAAGGGGTTTAGAAATTCACGGGAAGAGCAGGCTTTTTCACCAGATACAAATAAGAATCATCTCCTTTTACCAGGTTTTTTAGTTCCAAAGATGATGGAGCTGACAAGAATCTTACAGATCGATTTTTGCAGTAGTTGAGATACACATGACAGGTAACTTTCGTTTGTGTGACCTAACACATTCCCAGGAGTATGTGGGCTCTCAGCTTTGGTTAATGCTACTCCTTTTTCTTTTCTAGAATGCCACAGAGGATGACGGTTATAACGATGCCCTTGAATGTGCTCTACTTATTTTTAAAAAGAACCACTGACAAACTTTCATGACTAATCAAAGAAATTACTTGCCAAGCACCATCCAGCTGATGAAAACACACCTGTGGGTTGGGTTACAAGGCTGCCATTGAGAGCTCCTGCCAGTTTTTCAAAGCTATTTCCTGTGCAGATGTAGCCCAGAAGGTAGCCTGATTTTTAGAAAGCCATAACAAGGAGCTAGTTTGTAAGCTGGAATCCTTGAGTAGCAACTGAACAAAAATGGGCTGGACAGGAGAGGCCAGGTCTAAAAATGAGTGTGTGAGTGAGGCAGGTGGGACTGAATAGCCAGGAAGAGATGAGGAGCCTAAGGATGAAGCAGCCAAGGTAAGGACAGGATGCTGGTAATTCACAGGGATTTTCTAGGTAAATATAAAAGGGGGAAAATGTAACATTTCTATCTCTCCTCTATTATATACCAGAGATATAGAAAGGAGAAGCACAGAGTTCAGGTTCACCATAGGATTTTCTAAGCGGGAGAGGACACCCAGGAAACAAAGGGCTAACATATGATAAAGGAAATGCGAGCCCAGTGCACTTGCAGAGGGGAAGCAGTGACTGCATCTAGAGGAGTCAAGAAAGCCCCAGATCCTCCATGATATGTAGTTTACAGGCAGGGAGGTGGGGACCAGGGTTTGGCTGTGAGTGAAGAGACTAGCCCAAGGCAGGTGATAGAAGAAAGCTGTTCCCAGCTGTAGGCAACTGTATAGGCTGCCTTGTTGTTAGGGGTCACGCCCAACTAGGCTGTGGTGCCTGCTGGTGTGCAAGAAGGTGAGGCCTGTGGTGGGCTGGGCTGGGCTAGGCCACAGCACCTGTCAATTTGTGTGAGAGATGGGCCTGGGTGAGGAATTGACCAGAAAGCTGCATCCGCCAGCATGTGCGTTGGCTGGTGAGGGTGACAGACCAAATCTGATCCTGCACTGGCTGGCACACACAAGTCAAGTCTGGATCACTCCAGGTGAAGTTTCTTGGGAGACTCCCTAACTAGATCATTGGACTGAAATCCTAGCCATAGAGAAAATCACAAGATATATGGCCCGACCTTGGAGTGCATGTATTGGGACTGGGCCTCCTCGGTTGTGGATACCTGTGCAGTGAACAATGTGCCCAGATGCACATGGAGGACATGACATCCCAGCTCATCTAGGCCAGTAGAAGATGTCTAGTGCCTTATCAGTGGATGGGAAGCAGAACAGTCTGGATAACTTTCCAGGCCAAGCTTTGCTGCAACTGTCTGGGTGCATGGACACACGCTGAGGTGGGCCTGGTCAGTCAATAGACCTTGAAGAGATTTTCTGAACCCTGGTACAATAAAGCTGACAACTTTTCAGAACTATTAGAATCACTCATGTAACATCTTCGGAACATTCTCCCCTACATTGGGGGTTTTAAGGTGTTATTAAATGACCAACCCCCATCCCCGGGTACTGAAGTAGTCTGAGTGGGGTCTCTCCACCCTCATCAAACCAGGAGGATAAAAACAACTGAAACATTTGTCCCAACCACCTTCTTCTGTACCTCAATTCTTTCCTCCCTAATCAGAAGCCAACATGGGTGTGCGTCCCTTTCAACTATGTGAACAACATTAAATATAAAATCAAAAATTGGAAAAAAAGAAAGCTGGGGTTGTTCTTCTTCTCACCTTTGAAGAATGCTTGTTGTACAGGAAGACAGTTCATAGCTACTGCTCAGGAAGAGAATTTGGTAGCTGCCTGCCTGAGGCTCAGTTTACAGTAGGATGATTAGGAGTATGGTGGAGAGAGCTCTGTGCTGGAAAGTACAAGATTTCTGGTCCTACTTCTGCTGCTAACTACCAACCCCCCGGGAGAGGCACATTCTGACGCGGTTGCCCATGTGTATGACTCAACTTGATTTACAGTGTGTATGAGGGGTGTCTGCAATATCAGCTGCTGGGGTTTCTTTTGTAATGAGTCGGAGAGTTGTTTAATCCTAATAGCTGGTGTCAGATCCCTCTTGGGGGAACTCTGTTAGACAAACACATCAATAAATGTGAGGGGCTGGACTGAGTGCTGGGAGAAGAGGAGACCTTCAGGGTCCAGGTGGTGACCAGCTCTGGCTGCTCGGCACAAAAGGGCTGCTCCACACGAGACTAATTTGTTGGCAGCACCTGACAATGAAGAAGGAGGTAGTGGCGAGAAGAGACTGCACAGAGTAAGGGCTGGGGCAGAGAACCCTCCCAGGGCGAGATGACAGAAAACACCAATGGGCAGGACCATCTAGTCAGCTGTTAAATATGGGTTCTAATTTAACAAGTTTGGGGTGGGACTCAAGAGTCTGCCTTTTAACAAGCACCCAGGTGCTACAGAGGTTACTGCCCACCTCTTGAGTAGTAAGGCTTAAGAAAACAGGAGGGTTGAATATGAATTGTCACCTATCATCATTATGGGAAAAAAATGTGTGAAATGAAATGCGAGGCTCCTCCATAACAACAACCTTCCTAAGGGCTACCATGCTCATGTATGCTTTTTAATGAGCAATCTGACAGGCTGCATGGCTGAAGTCCTGGGCCTGGGAGCAAAAGCCAAAGTGGAGTCCCTAAGAAGTTGCGGAATTCAGACATCCACCAGGCAAAGCTTATTTAGATCTTGAGGGACAGGAAAGACTCAGCTGGGAGATATCTGGGTTAGGCTTTGATTTAAAGTCCTGTCAACTTGTTAAATTCCTCTCCTGAAGGTCCTTCTCGCCTGGGGAGAAGCCCCTGAGCTGGGGTGCAGGCTTACTTATCAAACAGTTTTCCACTGAGTCCTTCTAGACAATGTGGCCAGGTGGGTTGTGCTGACTCCTGCCTGGGCTCTGAGGTTTTCATTTGACTCTGGCTTTGTTCCATCTCTGCCAACTGCTGACACTTCAGCGTGCTGCACAGCCACTGCCAGGCTAGCAGACAGCCTGTCACCATCACACTCAGGACTCATATGGATGCGGGCAGGGGCCATCTCAGCGTGACCTAACCGAGGGAGAGCTGCTTTTGTGAGGAAGGTGGAGGCCTCCGTGCTACTAATGGGTCTAACAGCCCTGCTCCTGACAGGGAGCAGCAGCACAGCTCTTCTGATGCTACTGAGGAACACAGCTTCCGTAAGAGATGGACATGCACATGGTTGTCTAGGTTGGCATCTGCCTGGGTCTCAGTGATGTTAAGAAGGGCTCTGAGGTCAGTCCCCGGGCTTTGTTGTCGAGCAGTCATTGATTTCTTCACTTCCCTTTTCCAGTCCAGAAGGCACCCTGTGATAAGTCACTGGGCAAACCTTATTCCCTGAGACTTTTCTGGGCCTCCAACAAAGAAAAGCATGCAGGGGATCCAGCCTTGTACAGGCTTGGGATGTTCAGAAAGCAAGGGAGCAGTTCTGCCTTCCAGAATCTTCTGTGAAGGAGGAGGCATTCAGTCAAGAAGTGCCATTTTTTCACTAAGTAAGTGGCATTAGGAAGAAGAATGCAAACTTTAGAAGGTTTAAGTAGACCTGAAGTTTCTGAATAGAATTAGTGTTTTTCTTTAAATAATGCAATTTGAATAAACAAAAATCTTTCAGGTTCAAGATCATGACAGTCTCCAGAGATGCTTTATTAATGTGATGTTAATGAAGACTGTTGGGGTGGGGGGAGGAAAAGATCAGGACTGGGTAGTAGACATTAACCTGCTCCATTTTATCTAAACTGCCTTAAAACAAAAGGAGTAATAATAGCAAAAACAAACCTACACACACAACACTGTTCCTGAAAACTGAACATGGGACTGGCATTGTGACACAGGAGGTCTGTGGTGCTGGCATCCCCTGTGATGCTCAGCCTGGCGCAGCCTCCACCATTGTGGGCATTTGGGAAATCAGCAGATGAAAGATCTCTCTCTCTCTCTAGCTCCCCTTTCTGTAACCCTGCCTTTCAAATAAATAAAAAATAAACCTTTTTTTTTTTCTTAAAAGAAAGTTGAACATGACCCCACATGCATGTTTCTCTTGAGGGAAAAAGTCCAGGACCATTGTTCAAGTCAGAGTTTGAAGAAAGCTCAGTTTATAGAGGGTCGGTCACATGGATAGGTAAGAAAGCATTGGGGCAGAGAAATAAGTAACTTAGCCAAGCCTACTTGGTGAATTACAGAGTCAACATGGAACTCAGCTGCTATACTTCTTCCTGTAACATTCATCCCATTGACAGAATTAGTTTTTCAGAATTTCATTCAGGGGCCAGCATATTGGCACAGTGGGTTCAGCTGTGGCCTACAACTTTGGATCACATTTGGGTGCTGGTTCATGTCTTGACTGTTCTACTTCTCATCCAGAACCCTGCTAAAGGCCTGGGAAAGGCAGTGGAAGATGGTCTAGGTGTTTGGGCTCCTGACACCCAGTGGATGTGGGCATCCTGGATAAAGTTCTTGGCTTTGTCCTGGCCCAGCTCTGGCCACTGCAGCAATCTGGGTACTACCCAGTAGTTGGAAGATCTCTTTCTCATTAGAATTTGACTTTCAAATCAATGTTTTATTTTTATTTAACCTTCTTCTATCATTTAAAAAATGAAGGTGGATTGGGTATGTGTATATACTTGGCAGTGCGTGCGACAGCCGTATCGCGTACCAGAGTG